AGATGCGCTTGAGCTGGGCTATCGATTTCACCCCTAACATTGGCATGCCATTCCTAGGCTCTTCTCTAGTAAGCCTGGTTTTATCCCCTTCCCCCTTCGAATCTAGTTTAAAGCCCTCTCGATGAGCCCCGCCAACTCACGAGTGAGAATCCTTTTCCCCCGTGAGACAGCTGAAATCCATCTGTCCCCAGCAGGCCCGGTGCCGTGTACGTGTAAACCTCCCCATGACCAAAAAAGCCAAAATTCCACTGATGTCACCAGCCTCTGAGCCACATGTGAATCAGGTGTGTTTTTCTGTTCCTTTCAGTATTCTTCCCTGCCACTGAAGGGAGCGAGGAAAACACCACCTGTGCTCCTGATCCTTTAACCAATCACCCCAGTGCCCTGAAGTCCCTTTTGATTGTTTTTGGACTTTTCTCTGCAATCTTCTCACTGCCAACCTGCATAGCCAATAGCGGGTAATAATCAGAGGGCCGCACCAGACCAGGGAGTTTCCTAGTAACGTCTCTAATCCGGCCTCAGGGAGGCAGCAGGCTTCCCTGTGGGATGGCTCTGGTCGGCATATTGGGCCCTCTGTCCCCCTAATTGCTTACAACAGTTACCCTGCTTTTTTTGTCTTAACAGAGGCAGTCATAATGCCTTCTATCAGTGATATTCAATAACAGGACAAGAGGCAATGAGCGCAAACAGAAATACAGGAAACTTCATTTATACATAGGAAAATAGCTTTTTTAATTGGAAGGTGGTCAAACACTGGAAGAGGTTGTCCAGAGTAGCTGTGGAATCTCTGTCTTTGGAGATGTTCAAAACCTGACTGGACATAGTCCTGGGCATCTTACTGTAGATGACCCTGCTTTGAGTAGGGGGAGTGGTCTAGATAATTTCCAGAGATCCCTTCCAACCTCTGTAATCCTATGGAAAAAAAAGAAGTGTATGTCTTTGTTGTGTTCCTTGTTCCTTTTTTAAGAGAAATTACTGTTAGACTTCAGTCACGCAGATATTTTGCTCCTGACTTCTGTTTTGTTCTGATACTAGTGCTATTTAGGCAAACATGTAGTAGATGCTTCCTTCACTGAGCCTTAGAAACACAAAAGAGGATGACATTTTGGTGGTGAGACCTCTTTATAGGTACCTAAACTACTATCAGATTCTACTGTGCCTTCAAATATCTCTGCTATGCTCACATTCTGTGTTTTCTCAAGAGTTTGTTAAGTAGAACTAGTCATAGATTTAACTTCTATAGGTGTGAGGGACATGTCAGTAGTGTCATGGCTGTCATTAACGCATAAGCACGTGTTTTGTTTAGATTCTCTCATTGTTACCCCAGACTTTTTAATGTGGTTGCTACATCTGTGCATACATCTCAGTTGTGTTTAGAGCTGAGGGTTATAAAAGAGCAAAGGATGAACCAAAACATTGTAGTTTTTCATGTCTACTAATATCTAGAGTTGTTGGTTATGATTATTAATATCTCCCAATGCATCAGAAGGAAATCTTGTAAATACCTAAACAAGGTACCCAGTTCTAGTAGTCCAGTTCCAGGGATATCTTCCTAGACTCTTTGGGGAGTGGAGTTCTAAGGCAGTCTTGATCGAAGAGGAAAGGAATTTGGGGAGACAGATTTAGAAATGTTATGTTAAATGTTATGGAAATATATAATTGAGAAATGTTGCCAAATCTCCTGATTTTGTATAAACCAGGTCTGCTGCAACAACACAGCAAGGCTGTAGAAGCTCTTCAGATATCTTGTCTCCTGCTACCACCAGAAAATCGGAAAAGACTACAGCTGTTGGTGAGGATGATGGCAAGAATTAGCTTTAACAAGGATTTGCCACCTCTTTCTGAATCAGTGAGGACCAGAACCTTGGTACGTAGAGTGTAAGGTCTAGACAAAGCTTTTGGAGTAGCACAGATAAAAGATTCTTACTGGAGAGTGTACACAAAATACAGTTTGCTTGTTTGAAGAACAGTTTGTCTATTCTAACTATCTGGAAAACTACTCTGAATTTGAATAAATTGGGATTTCTTCGTAAGTTGTGAGCAAATGAAGAATTTGCTCAGAATTTGGAGGTTTCCTTATCTTTCAAATTTAAATCACCACTGATTTCACTATTGAGTAGAAAAAAAAATACAGTAGATGATGTCTCTGGTGTTCTTTATCACTGCAAACAGTGTGAGAGAAACAGACTGCCTGTTTCAGTCATAGTTAGAAATATGTAGCTGAATGTTTTGATTTACTTCTCAGCATTTAAAAAAAATTCCTACCAGTTTATTTTAGTACTGACTTTTTTTCATTACTTAACTACAGGAATCTCTGAAAGTAATTTTAATTAGATTTTGACAAAGCCCTAGTTTTCGCTAATGCTCTTTCTGTAGGACTACTTGTAGATTTATCACTGATGTTTGCAACGGCACGTTGTTACAAGTTATTAGGCATAACTTAGCAATTCCGACTGGCTAAGAACATGTATTTCTTTTGGTTAATTTTCAAGGTTTTTTGCAAGAAGGGCAACAGAAAACTCAGCTGTAGAGCCACTCCATAAAAATCCTATAGTAGCATGCATAAATCTAAATTTGTTCCATAGCAATTAAGTTTTTAATTAACTATTAATAGTATTTGATTAAAATAATTAAATTTTTGACTGCTAAAGTTATAATTTAATTAACTGTAAATGGTCTTTGATTAAAATAATTATGTTATAGTCTAAATGTTATTTTTAGAAGTGAATCCTGAAATATTTTGTACTAAGTTTTAATTCAGCAGTGTAGTCTATGGTACATCACAGAAAACCTTGATTGCCTTCTGTGCTTTTAATGTTAGAAGTGACTGGTGCACAGTCAGAAAACTCTTGTAACTGAATGCTTGATCATGAGACTACATAAAGTGAGCTGGACCTGAAATTTCGTTCGATGATTTCAAAATAATGGTATTAAGTTTTCTCTCTGGCGCTTCTATTAAATTCCTGTGTTGTTTTTAAAATCTCTGAAATATTTGTGCCCTGTTTACTAGAAAAGTCATGTGAAGTGGCTCTTTGACTAAGTCTTGAGAATAAAATGGAATTCAGCCATTCTAATTCAAAAGTCAGGGTTAGATTATGTATATGAGGCAAGAGCCATCTTCAGTCAACTCAGATAATGTCACTGTACACAATACACCTTTTTTTTGTTTATATTGATGCATTGGAAGTACAGTAAGTATTGTGCTGCTAAAATTTTTTTTCTAAAAGATCACTTTTTAAATACAGTCTGATTCCCCACCCCCAAACACAAAAATATACCATAACAATGGTTTTTTTTGTTCCTCAGATGGTTCAGGCATTTTCCCGTTGTATTCTCTGCTCAAAGGATGAAATAGACTTGGATGAATTGCTTGCTGCTAAACTAGTATCTTTTCTCATGGACAATTATCAAGAGATCTTAAGTGTTCCTTCCGCCTTAAAATCTTCTATAGAGGAACATATTATACATCTCCAGAGAGTCCAAGTAGGTATCTATTGAAAAAAGCTTCTTATGTCAGTGTGCTTCTAGATCAAATTTATCCTTTCTGCTCCAAAGTTCGACAGTTCTTAAAGACTTTGTTCTGTCTCTGCTAGCTTATGAAGAGCTAATTAATTTTGACTGCTGATATTCAACCATAACTATGTATTTAAATGAAACTAAGCAGACCTTGGCTTAGAGACAAGAGCTCTAAAATATGTTTTCCTGTTGGTCAGCGCTATCTTCTCCATGGAATGGGCAAACTATGTTTGTGGTAGTGAGGAAAACTGTGACTGGTTTAAAAAGTGTTTCCATTAATATTCTGATTTTCTTTTATAGCCATCCTTACTTGCTTAACTTTTTCATAACCCTTTCTGTTTCCTGATACCATATTTTGTTTTGTTCAAAACTGCTTTTTAGTTCTTCCTTCTTTAATTACTACTGAAAAAATAACTTTTAACTTATTCCAAGAGTTAAACAGGCTTCCTTTGTGTCATGTTTTTTGACTTACTAGAACTCACTCAATTAGTGCAGGAGGTAGGAGGTACAATTTAGGGTCTTTATTCCATATCTTCTCTACTTAATCACTTCAGGTGGTCAATTTGATTAAGCCGTTTTTTGCAACTTTATTGCAGAAAACATAGCTGCTCTTTTTTTACTCTTTCTTCAGATAAAATATGCTGGAGCTGATACTGATGCAACTTTTCCTCTTCCATCATTTTGTCACCAAATCAGTACAGATGAATTTGAATACCAAAGGGCAAATGGCTCTCAAGAACCACTGGCAGCTTTATTGGAAGAAATTGCAATGAATAAAGAAATATCTGTGAAAGATAAGAAGAAAAAGCTCAAGCAAGTAAATAAAAATTCCTCCACAGTCTTTAATTTTAACTTAAAAAGCTTTATCAAGACTTAGACATGTGGTCCGCTAGAGAAATACGAGATTTAAAATAGTGGGTACTCTTGGGGATTTCAAACTTTTTAATCATTTAGAATAGGGGTACTGTGATGAATCAAGCCATATTAGAAAATATTACCTAATTCTCTACATAGAGATATAGAAAGTCCATTAGAGAAATAATCATTTTCCTGCTCCAGAAGTGGAGGTTGCACTTCAATAGTTTTTTCATATTATAAGTTTGAGTGAATTCTTCATTTAAATTGATGTATTTTTCTAGTTTCAGAAATCTTACCCTGAAGTGTATAGAGTACGATTTCCTACTCCTGAAACCGAAGCGGTGCTATTTCCAGAAAAAACTAAACAGAAACCACCAATACTGATGTGGGCCTTAAAAAAGCCTTTTCAACCATTTCACAGAACCAGAAGCTTTCGGATGTAAATGGTTCGAAATATATCAGCGAACTGAGTCAGAGCATATTATCAATGGATCTTATGCCAAAGGAGCCTGAGCAGCATGTAGTTACTCAAAAAACTACTGGAGATACGGCCAAGATGGTGGAAAAGGTCAAAAGAAGAGGAAGGTATTGAGGTGGTAGAAATGTGAGCCATTATCAGTATTTTTGTAAATCATTATTTTTTTTAAATGTCCGTTATTTAAAAAAAACAAAACAAAACAAAAGGAAAAAAACCCAACAGACACCAAAAAACAACAAACTCAAGGTGATGAATCTACATGGGTGATATTGCTGTAGTTTGATTTGACCATCATTTTAAGGTCTAAATGTATTTGTGTGTAATGTATTATTGGTAACGAGTCAACAGCTTTTTTTTCTCTGAAAATGAGTCTTTTGCATAAACTAGGCTGTGTTTGTGCACATATAGCTTGAGGAATTAATTTGCTGTACGTGCTTGAATAAGTATGAAACACTGGATTTTGTTTTGCTGTTGTAAATGTTAGTGTTCTTGATATGTAGGATTTACTTTGGAAAACTGTAAAAACACATTCTTAATTTTCTGATTCATATGATGCATTACAGCTTGAGTCAACTCCTGTTGAAATTCCATTAAATTCTGCAGTGCTGACCCATTCTTTTAAACAACCCAGTCTTTTAAATCTTTTCCCATATGCTCTTACTAAATATCGCCATACAAAATTGGATGCTTGACAATAGAACATACTTTATCAGAAAAATCTGAAGCCTTGCATTTCCTCTGGAAATGGAATTCAAATATTGAAGTGATATTGAAACATATGTGCCTTTAAAGATTTAACTTGTTCTGCATTATGAAATCTACTGTATCTATAACTTGACTGTGCATATAACATACTTGATTCTGACAGCACTTTTGAGCTATTAAAGCATTTCCATTTTCCGATATTTACTTAAAGTGGTGATTTCATGTTGTCCATTAGAGACTTAAAGAGCAGCGTTTCATACGTTATTGAATGTCAGAGTAGTCTATGCAGGAGAGAAGACAGCTGACATCTCAACAAATTTCTATCTGACACTTTAGTAAGCAATATGGTGACTGTCCTGTAATGCAACATTGACAGTATTTTCACTTTGCTAACCTCCTAAGCAGTCAATAAGCTTTAAGATGTACATACAAGGTTGTTAGTTTAATAGATTGGAATATTTGTTGGGCAATGTGGCTTTGGACAATACGTGTTTCCATGATCTGTTTTCACACATGGGTTATACTTGGACTTCATGTCAATAATCTTTTTCTTAAGAAAAATTGATGCAAAAGGGTACACTTTTCAAATAATAAGGAAATATTAAAACTAATATTAGAAGTAATCTGAGGCCACTTCTTACCTTTTGTCCTAGGTCTTCAAGGGTGACATAACCTTTTAGGTGTGTCATGGTATTCTGTGTATTCTTACATGCAGTCAAACTTTGACTATGACTAGACTACTCATGTATAATAATTTGGTTACAACACTAATCCATGAAGTATAATAATAAGTAAGGCTAGTTGGAAAGCAAGTCTTGCATAAAAGTGGAAACCCACCCTACATGATCTCTGACATCAGTTCCTAAATTGCAGAGGAGAAGTAGAAGCCAATCTTTGCCATTGGAAATAATTTCACTGCTTGCCAATAAGCCTTCTATCATGTTGAATTTTTTCCCCATTGTTACTTTTTAAAAATTTGTAGCCTTCCTGAGCCTATTTTAAACTGTAATTAGATTTACTCGTTAGTTTCCATGAGGAGAAGTTGAAGATGTGTCATATGTTTCTATGGATCAATTGTACTTTTGTTTCAAAGAATTATTCCTTGACTGTGGTAAAAACAAACCAAGCAAGTCCATTTGCTCACAATTCCCAAGCATGCAAAAAATACTGCCACAAAATGTCCTCTAAAACCCTCAGGGGACTGTAGGGAGGGAACTTTATCTTAGGTCATAATACCACAGGCCGAATTTTAACTGTTGTCCTATCTTGGGAGACACTTAAGAAAGCTTATCTTAGTAATAGAAGATATATGACTATGCTTACAGCTCTTCTTTGTCTCATAACTGAACCAACTGCAAATATGCAAGATGAATATGGTATGAACATAAAAGTAAGTTTGCCTATTCCTTGCAGGGTGGAGGTCAGAAAAAGGAAGCTTGAAAGCTAGTTCAGAGAAGACTGTGGGCTTGATGAAGTGTCTTAGAAAAAACACAGGTTCTGTATCCCTAAGCTATAGTCAATAGAAACTTCAGTTTTGATATTAGCTTTCTCAGGAACTTAACCTTTACTTCTGTGTTAAAGCCCTGCAGTGTCTTGATGTTGCCAAGACCGAACAACATGGGCTTTGTTGGGTTTATTTCCCTTGAACCGAGAGGACCATAAGCCAGACATTCTTTTGCTTAACCTAGTGGCTATTGTCTGAAGAGGCTCACTAAATGTAGTACTAGCTGACATTCTTTTAAAGCACATCAGGTGGAAAACTCAATAAAGGTAGAATATGTTGTTTCAGCTGCTTTTTCAGCCTACTTAGACCAATGTTTGTCATCTAAGAGGAGCACGTGAAATATCCACCTGTAAGCTCGTATGTAAGTAGGAGCTATTTCTTGCTAAATTTGGACAATGCTGTTTAACTCCTTAGTACTGAAACTTCTAGTGTAACGCCATTAGCTGTCATGGTACTGTTAGGCTTTTTGGACAAGATCTTTGAGTAGAAACTTCTATTGTGTAGGTGGTTTTGTTTGGTTTTGCAGTGGTTTTTTGGTTGGTTGGTTGGTTGTTTTTTTTTTCCTTGCAAAGTTCTTTGCCCCCAGCAGAGCAATCTCATTTCCCTCACCCCCCACCCCACCTAGACCACTAACTTCTCTTCTGATCTCTTGGTTCCTAGCGACACATCTGTTACAGTTTTGCTCCAGCATTTCCTGGAAGAGGGAAGAACAGTATTTACCTTCCTTTCTTGGGAAGGCAGCTGAGTCTTTGCTTAACATTGCTCTTTCTAGCTGATTGTTGCATTGCTTTGTTTTCTTACACAAACACGGCTTGCTCCAGCCCCTAGGTTAACAATCAGTCATCTGGAAAACCTTTCGGTGCACATGGCTCTGTTTCTGCTCTAGTCCTCTGATGTTCCTTGAGTAATAGCTTCCATTTTTAGTTGCTCATACATAAAGATTATTCAATTGCTCATATTTGTAAGAAGTCTTTAACTCAACTAATTTACCAGGATTGTGATATCAGCTGCTTACACATGTGACTACAGAGAATGATGGATGATTGGTGTTATTTTCTGAAACTGTTTTCAGGTGTTACTTCACTTCATATTGGGGGAAGGTTAGGCAAAATCTGGGTGATCTCATCTTCTCATTCTACTAAGTGGAAACAAGAACTAAAGTGAAGAAAGTAGTATGTTAACATACCATGCTTTTTAAGTTATTGCTGTGACATGCCCCTCTTTTCTAAAAAGATGTTTAACATTGTAAGAGTGTTTCTTTCTTTCACAGAGATTGTGCTAACTCAAATGTCTTGCTTTATCTCTTGATCACAATTTTTTAAGTCTCCTACTGCCTCAGGGCTTATGATTCTAGTTATTGTAGCTCTCGGTAAGCTGATACTTCTTAGATTTTAAGTCCACAAACTCCTAGATACTACCATTCTGTAGGTATATAGGTGCACTTGAATTAATTTTATTAATTGGGAACAGCTGGTGTACTTCATACCAGCTGTAACGCATTAACATTACTATTTTCATCAATTCATTAGGCTTGAAGCAGAAGTGTGAGGTGACAAGCTTTTCAGGAAAACAAAGCCTGTAAAATGGGATTAGAATTTACACAAGTTTTTAGCTCTGTTTTCAAGTATCTGCTGTATGGTATTTGTTTATCAACATCTCTTCCTATGTTAGATGTCAGTTCTGTTGTTGTTTTGTGTTTTTTTTTTTTTTTCCGGAAATCCGGATTAGAGAATAGTTATGCATCTAGGACACTATTTATCTCCTCTTTCTGTATGAATCATGGTTGAGAAGTGAGTGTCAACTCTGTAAAGGAGTTGACAAATTTACTAAGAATAAACATGTAAATTAGGTGAAGTAAGTCCCTCTTCATGAGTTTCTGTTTGGGTGCCTAACTCCCATTTAATTTTACCAAGATAATTAAATAACAAAGAGGAGATGCTCAAGTCTGTGTTTAAGAAGAAGGAAGCTGATACAGGTTTGTGAAGTCCTTTCTGAAAAAGGCAGGATATTTAAACGGTATTGGTTAGGGACAGTAATTTTCAATTTTGTTGCTTTTCTGGAACTTTGGGTATCTAAAGCTGCCTGAAAAAATCGCTTGCTTGTCCTGGCAAAAGCAAGAAAAATACCGGAACAGTGCCAAATACATTGTTACTTAAGAGGATAATTGAGAATAATTCAAATAGCCAATAGCAAATGAGTCTGATGGCAAACCTGGGCAAAATAGTGGAAAAACTGATACAGAATTTTAGTGGGAAAACCTAAAGCACAGTAATAGAGCTAAATCTTGGTCAATGCATTGTTTTAATTCTTTATAGAGAGTATACTGTCTTGCATGGCAAACTTGCTTTTGTTAGTGATGGAGATTACAAGTTTATTTTATAATGTGTGTCAAGTTTTGCCTGCTGAAAATTTTTCGTTGAAGGTGGGATATTTATTTAGCAGATTTAGGTAAACTGACAATAGACTTAAATGTTATTTGGTTTTTATGGATTCCTTGGAAGTACTGATGGAGCCATGGATATGGCTGAAAACTGTTGGTACAATAGGCTTTTTATGGCATTTCATTTAGTAACATTTGATAAAATTATTCCTGGATAATGTCAGTAAGTGTTTAAGTGATTAAGAACTGCCTAGATGTAGGCAGAAGGGAATCATGATGGAGATATTCTTTATGGGTTTTTGCAGGAAATTGGTACTAGATTTTCCTATCAACCGGTGTTTTCCTTGAGGACATGAAAATAAATATAAAAATCACTGTTAACATCATTAGCTAATCTCAGTAGTGTTTTCAGACTGTTCAGTAATAATAGAGGCATTAATAAGGAACAGTGCAGGTTGAAAATTAATTCAAATGTGGTCACTTCAAAGTTGTATGTCTGAGAACAAGATATGTAGGTCACATTAAAAAAAAAAAAAGTAG